TTTAAAAACTTCAGGTAATGATTTCCTTACATAAGCTGATGAAACAGGTCACCTCCAAAGCTATAACACTGATTTAAAGTAGAATAATTTTCAGAAAGGATGACCATTTTATTGTTTGTTTTTTTTGTTTTTTTTAATTTTAAGTAACATTTTTATCATATGACCTTGAAACTATTTCAGTTTTTTCAAAGAAAGAAAGGAGTACCCCCTCTGGATGCTACTAACTCGGAAATGATTTTTCTAGGGAATGAGGAACATATGATGCAGAAGCAGGTGATGTGAATGTCAGTCTGGTCAATGGCAGTGGAAGACAGCAGGAGTGCTTGGAGAGAAGACATGATAAGTCAGTGCTTTTTCAAATGATGTCTTCCATCAAGGCAAAGTGTAATTTATCACAGAGCAGGCTCCAGGGATAAAACATGATCCCAGGGACAAGCTGAAGAGATTATAGGCTTCACTAGACACTAGGGAGTGTTCGCTGAGCAATTTTCATGAACTTCTGGGTCATAGGAAGGTAAGACAAAGGTTGTTAGATGTGTGTGTGTGTGTGTGTGTGTGTGTGTGTGTGTGTGTGTGTGTGTGAATTCAGGTGTGAATGTGTGTCTGTTGTCATCCTATGCTTATACTTATCTCTGAATGTGTTTGGTTTCAGAGCTGAAAAAAAATAAAGTTATGCTCCAATGAGGTGAATGACAGAGAAGGAGACAGAAGGTAATAAACTCCTCCAACCCCACTGTTACTTAGTATGCTTGTTATTCCAAGTTCCCTGGGTAAGGTCTTTTCTAAAAGCCCTTATAGGAGCACATCATTTAAGCAAATCTGGTCTAGAATTATCCATTAAATTTCCTCAAATGAATGAGATGAATAAGTTTTATAACATCTATAACCCAAAATTCACTTCATAATGTATACAGTTTTTGAGTACACCAATCTTCAGACTCAGGTGGTAGTACATGAGTTCTCTCCAATCTACTTTTATTAATGTCTGGGACCATAGAATGCAAACTGTGTGTGATTCATCCATTGTCTGCCTAAAATGACAATAAATACTCATTTGCTTGCCCACTTTGGTCAAATGGAGGAGTATAATTTTTTCTTAATAATGGGTCCAACTTTTTGAGTACTTACTGTGGACTTTATATTGTGCAAAATACAGAGTCAATCTTAACACTTGGACTTTGATTCTATAACTTTCTCTATTTTACATCTTTAATTTTATTTAATATCATTTGAGGTATTTAAGAGAGAGCATGGGTTGGGGACTAGTTCATCACCCGTTAGGTTCCTCTCATGCTGCCAGGAGCAGTAAGCTGAGAAGACTGCCACTTCCCTAGATACTGTTCAGCGATATTAGCCTTTATTGTAATCACTTCGTATTAGTCATCACCCAGCCAGTGCCTGATTGCCATTATTTGGAGACACAGAAGTGAATTGACATGGTCAGTTAGTTCCAAAGCCAATTTGTAACCAGAGTTCTATTATAACTATTTTATTTGTTTATTTTGCCTTCCCTTCCATTGAAATCAAAGTACATTAACATGGATATTCTCTTTTCTTAAATAAAAAAAATATAGTTTTAAGAAAATAAATTGGAGAGATCCCAGCCAACTCCTAGACAATCATATTACTCCCCTAGCTTCTGGGAGATGTGACGTAACAATGAGAAAGCATCATTTAATATGGAGTGGAAGATATGAATTAATCATTCTCAGGAAAGTAGCAGGGCAATATTTTCTTATTTATATAGTAACACTCATTACAGGTACTGTACACACATTTCAACGGGCCATTCACTTTCTGAAAGTTTATTATATTGCGGTACATTAGCATAGGATGAAAGATTTGAGGAAGAATAGGGAGGTGTTTTTTATGTCTATTTTAAGCTGTTAGTTTTACTGCATTTCTGGATGTGGAAGATCATCTTATAGTCAAATAAAGCTATAAAGACTAAATCCAATTATCCCCCTGGCACAGCTGCTCAATCTCTAGGGTGTGGGTAGGTCCCGCAAGGAGGGAATGACAGATTGCACGGGGGATGCTGCTGCTGCAGCTGCGGGGGGGCTGGAGCTGGACGCAGCCCAGCCTGTGCTCCCTGGAGCCACGCATCAAGTTTTGTGATGCATGGGCATTTCCATGCATGCACAGCATTGTGTTGGCTCCCTAATCTCCCACTAACTCTGAAATCGCCAGGCCTGGGAGAGTGTCTGTGAGCACTGGAAAAGGACCAAGACACCATCCCTTTAGAGGTCCTCACTTAGCACAGAGGCGATTTCAGGGACTTGAACCAAAGCTGAGTTTGTAGCTGATTGTGTCTTGAGGAAAGTTTAAGACTGACTAGGGAAATAAAAGACATTGTACTTGTAATAAAGACTGCAAACCATTTCTTCCCTCATGGAATTCTAAAGGGGGGGAAAGACTTGTGTGTGTGTGTGTGTGTGTGTGTGTGTGTGTGTGTGTGTGTAGTGGTCTAAAATCTCACTTAACCAAAGTGATAAAAGTGATTTGGAAGAAAATATGTGTTTTTTTCCTCTTAAATTATGAAGGTTACAACTAAAGGTTGTCTATCTCTAAAGTAAAACAGTTTTATTGGGATGTTTTGCAAGTTCATTAGTACTAAATGGAGTCATTGTGCCTCCTAATAATAATACCACCAATTAGGCGCTGAGGAATAAAATATGCTAGCTGAATTTTAGGAAAGCTGGCAAGTGCTAAGGTAGTTTCTACTCAGCAAAACATTTATTACATTTTTAGTTAATGATTCTCACACAAAAAAAGAGGTAAGTTTGCCAATACTTAGAAATTCATGGTTTTTTTCCTTGTCTTTCCTCATTTTCCCCTTTTCTGCAGCACAAGGCAGTAACTTACCTAATGTATCTCATTGAAATGTTTCTCACTCATAATGTCTACAGAGACTTCCCTTAGGAATGTTGCCATGAGACCCGATTGACATCTGAGCTCAGGCATTGCAGGAGGAGGGCCAAGTGCCGGGCAGTGACAGTGAGCAATGTTTGCTCAGTTCCTTGCTTTCCAAATTGCCTGCCAGCTCCTGGCACTGCAGTGGGCACCCTAGCAGTCCCTACATCAGACAAAACTTTCCTGCCTTCCCAATGCGCTGATGGTCAGGACAGTCACCTAGACTACACTCAGAGCTTGTGTGATCCATGGCATTGGCAGGTGGGGCTTATAAAATTTCTCCTGGTCATAATATTGGAGGGTGGACAGGCATAATATGCATGGCTTGGCTCCAGTCTCCTGGTCTAGACTCAGGGGAGGAGTCATTATCAAGCTAGTGCTTAGAGGGGAACCTAAGCACAGGTGGTGGGAGAGTTGTCTGGCCCAGGGCTGGGACAGCATCTCCTAGAGACACTGGCAGGGAACTAAACCCCTTAGCATCATCAACACTCTTCAGAATAACAGCCAGGCATTTGGCACAAACTTGTTAAGATGTTGACAACTTTAACCCAAGTGTGATTTCCCCTAGATAACCTTACCTCACACCCTGGAATCCAATGAGCCTATTAACAAATGTGCTAACTTATGGAACTCCACAATAGAATTCCAGTTAGAGTTTCTTCTTATCAAAGGAAAGCAGAACACTTAAAGGTCCTATAAATCCGTTTGACCAGATAGCCCAGTGACCCGATTGCAAAGAGAATTCATTTTTCCTGTCAATGATAGGATGGCCCGTGCTTGTCCTGGGTTTTAAATTCATGCCCCTTAAGAAACTTCTGCTTCTGGGAAGATGAAATAGTGTGATTTTCCCTATTTCTACCACAAGGTACAACTAAAAGTCTGTACACATTATGTGTCAGAGAAAACTAAGAATATGGAGTGAAGAGAAGAAAGCCAGTATAAGTGTAGTGAGGCCCACAGAACAAGAGGGTGAGTTCCCTAGGGTTTCTTTTGACCTTTTGTATCCCAAACTTGTTGCTGAAGAAGCTAGCAGCCCAGAGACCAGTTGGTGCAGAACAAAATCTACATTAGAAGTCTGTTGTCTCTAATTAAATGAACAGAAAAAGGAAGCACAGTGCCTCAGAAACTTTCACACAATAATTGCTCCATGCCAGCCAAGCACCACAGAAACCCCATCACCACCATCAGGCTACCCCACAGCACCCAGAGCTCCCAGCCAGGTCTCAGGGAAGGCTAAATAAGGAGCCTGGACTTCAACTCTTCTGTGGGACCATTGGAGACCACATGTCAAGTACTGGAGGGACCCATCAGTAAGGAGGGACCCATCCAGTCCCTGCAGGGATGGCCTCAGAGAAGGCTCAGAGACAGACCAGGACTTTTACTGCAGCCCAGTGATAACAGGAAAGAGCATTATGTATTGATCAAATGGCCAATCCACCAGGAAGAGACAATCCTTACTGTTCCCACCAAACCACAGACCTGTAAACATGTGACCCCAAACTGACAGAACTGGAAGGAGAAATTGACAAATCTGCAGCTATAGTTGGAAACAGCATTAGTGAGCACCAGTCATGTGCAAGGCACCTGGGAGGCATTATAAATGCTCTAGTGACAAAGAAAAAGACAGCCCCGTTCCAGGGGAAACTCGCCATCTATTGTAGAGGAAGAATATTTAGTAATTAAAATTTATTTCACTTGCTGAATGGGAATCTCAAAACATCAAAAGTTTAACCTCTGGTTCACAAAATGCCCTATTTTAAGTTTCAACAATACCAATTTAATAGAATCTCTGGTTCTGTTGTTTAATTTCCCGCAGGTAATAAAGACAATCATGTTGGCCCAGTGTAGATTGTAAAACTTACCCCAGCTGCCTCAGAAATCATAGCTGGGAACAGGAAATTCTCCAGGCACCACTAATGCCTTGGTTTCTCCCAATAAAGTAATTCACATTGACAGTCCCTGCTCTCCTCCCTCTCCAAGGAGGTGAACGGGGCCTCCAAAAGGATTATAAATACATGGTTTAGAGGAGCCAAGGGTGGGATGTATAAAGAGTTAGAAACCACCAAGCCCAGGAGATGCCAACTTACCACAGTGTAAATCTGATGCTTCCTCCTTTTAGCCAGGTCAATTATGTTTATTCCATTGTAGTAGAGGTTTTCCATGCATCCCTGGAAGTTTTTCTTTAAAAAGGTCCCAGGTTTGCCTGGTACTGGAATTCCGCCAAAACTAAGCTTTATGAGGAGAAAAAAAGAAAACATAGAACACCTTAGTTACAGACTCTGAAGGAACAGGAAAGAAAAGTGGGTGAATTCCTATAGATTCAGCTGTAGGCATGGGCAAGTAGTTCAAGTAATTATAGCTGCCACTCGATTACCCATTTAAAGGACACTGATTAGCCCACATAAAAATAACTATAATTGATTGGTTTTAAATAACTATGAAACTATCCACTTCCTTTCAGAACCCTTTTTACACTAAATAAAACAACAATTTATAAAAAGGGAAAAATAAAAAAATCAACATTTTTTATATTTATCTCTGATGCAAATCTGAGAGGATATGGGCAAACTAAAGCCAAGGGACCAACAAAATATTCCTATAATCAGCTACACAGATGCTTACTGTAAAACCTGCATTTACACGAGAAAATCTGTGCCCAGTTGTTCACAGTATGTTCAGTAAAGATGAAAAACAGGAAACTTCAAATAGTCCATAAAGCCACCTCCCCAAAGCTTTTTAAAGAAAACCATCAAGAATCAATAGGATGGAATCTCACATGTAGTTGTCAATAGTGGTATTAAACATTTGTGATAAAATAGAAAATGAGAAGAACAGTTATTGAAAAATGCAAGAGTTATAATTGGATGTTAAGTAATAGGTCAACAGTAAGAAATGGTGCTTACCATGTGAGTTGGAGGGAACACACCAACACTGTTATAACAATTATATCTGCAAAGAATATGGGATACTAGTGTTCTTTGCCACTTTCCTTTCTAGTAAGAATTACTACAAATTTCTTTTGTAATGAAAATATTATTTAAAAATAAACCAGATCTCTTATGTATAGTCTGCCTATTATACAAGAGAATCAAGTTAATTTCTGGAATCATGTTTCTCCCAACACCATTTGAGGAGAAGTCCTATTTTTCCTCACTGGTGTGACAAGTTGTCTTCATCATGTGTGTAGACAATACTGGTGTCTGTGGGTGTTCTGGGAGAATGTATGCTCCCAGTCAGAATGTCTTCTTAGATGAATAGCTAGTGATATACCGAAGGCTACTATTAAATGTCTATTTCTCCCCATTAGTACAACACTATTTAAAAATATTTATTTATACATTTGATATACAATAAAGGTTATTTATCCTATTGCTCACTTTTATTTAATATTGCTTTACTCTGTTAAGAAATTTATTTAATATACTTCCTCACTTTATTTTAAAATTTCATTTCAGAATAGCTTTATTTAAAATAGCTTGCTGAAATTTTTATTAAGAATTTATTATATTCATTAAAAGGTTGACTTCTAGAAGAATGGATATTTTTGAAATATCTCATATTTCTATCCCCAAACCCAGTGCTTTTTTATTTTTAAAATATTTGGGTAAGGCCCTGTACCTAAGGTTGATATTTTCTTTTCCTAGTTCATATATTCATCATTAATTAAGTCCTGTGAATTTTATTTTTTTAGAAAAAAAATATTATAAATTAATTATTTTAATAAATTAAACATTTTGTTATATAAGTCAATTACCAATTTTATTGTTTTCTTTATCCAGATACTTTCATATTAAATAATATAATTATCATTGAATTTTTGAAGTAATTATCATATGACATATTTAAAGCACTTTACTCTTGCTAGTGATGTCAGAGGTATGGTGGAGTAAGGCCATATCTATCCTCTTCCCTTAACATTTTACACAGTGAGAGAGTGTCTGAACCTTGGGGGCATGTTGTAAATGGGATCTCAGTTGCATGAGTGAGTTGCTAGTCAGCAAACACCCTCCCTACAGAGTTGCTCCCCACAGCTGGGCCTGGCTGCAGGCTTTTAGGCAAAGAAAACAAATAGCAGAGCACTGCCACTGACTAAAGTCCTAAACGTCATTTCTAATTGCCCTTGGAGTTGGCTACAGAAGTGGATTATCTCTAGGCCAAGAGCTGTTACAATAAAAACACAGCTTTCCTCTATGACTGAACCCCAGGAGGGGTGCTTGGGCTGGACCCTTGGAAGTCAAGGGTCACCATTACAGTGATGGAAAAACAAACCTCACCCCCAAGCAGCAGATGTAGTACAGCCCTACAGAAGCCACATCGGCTCAAAACTGTGAGGCCACAGAAGATAAAAATCTTGCCATTTAGCACCATCAACTGGAACAGATAGAAAGACCTCCTCAGAGATAAATGGGAAAACAAAGCATAAAAATTGCATGATATTGTCAATAGATGCATAAAAAGCATTTGCTAAGATACAACATTCATTTATGATTAAAACACTCAATAAAATAGAAATAGAAGGATATTACCTCAACATAAGGCCATACATGTTAAACCCTCAGCCAATATCATACTCAATTGTGAAAAAAAAATGAAAGCTTTTCCCCTAAGATCAGGAACAAGACAAGGGATATCCACTCTTATTCAAGATAGTACTGGAAATACTAGCCAGTGCAATAAGGCAAGAGAAAGAAATAGAAGGCATTCAAACAAGGAAAGAAGTCAAACAGTCATTTTTTTGTGGATGACATGATGGTGTATCTACAAAATCCTAAGGACTCTACCAAAATGTTACTGAAAACCATAAACAAATATAGTCAAGTTTCAGGATACAAAATCAATGCACAAACTCCATTGCCTTCCTATATACCAACAACAAAACCTCAGAAAAATAAATGGAGAAAATTTATTTTGCAATCACAACCAAAATAATAAAACACTGAGGAATAAACTTAACAAAGAATGTGAAAGATCTATATACTGAAATTACAAGGAATTATTAAAAGAGATTGGAAAAGACACAATTGGATTGGAAAAATACCCCATGTTCATGGTTCGGAAGAATCAACATAGTTAAAAGGGTCATTTTACCCAAAGCAATATACAGATTTAATACATTTCTCATCAAAATCCCAACATCATTTTTTAAAAGAAATAGAATGAGAAATCGTCAGATTTGTTTGGAACCACAAAAGACCCAAAATAGCCAAAGCAATCCTAAAAAAAAAAAAAAAAAAAAAAAAAAAAAAAGGACCATGCTGGAGGTATCATACTATCCGACTTTACAATATACTATGTAGCTATGAAAATCAAAACAGCATGGTATTGCCAGAGAAACAGACACACAGATCAATGTAACAGAACAGAGAGCCCAGCTATAAAACCTAGTCTCTAGTAGCAAAATAAGAGGCAGGTTCAGAGGTGTCCTTTACAATCTCTACCCTCACACATACACAACCTTTATCTCGACAGACATCCCTCACTGGAGCAGTACATTTGTTATTATTGGTGAACTTACACTGATCCATTATTATTGCCCAAAGCCCACAGTTCACTTTCAGGGTAGCACATCCCATGAGTTTGAACAAAGGTATAACACCTGCAACTGCCATTACTGCATCACACAGCATGTTTCACTGCACTAAACATCCTCTGCGCTCTTCCCGTTTATCCTCCCCTGCTGAGAATTTATCTTGTTACAGTCTCCATGATTTTTTCTTTCCTAAAATGTCTTACAATTGTTTGACATTCATATAGTGTTTTTATATTAGATTCTTCTATTTGATGATATGGATTTAAGTTTTTTAAGCTATGTATTTTTATGGCATGATAGCCCCCTTTTTTAAAGCGCTGAATAATATCACATTGATTGGATGTAACATTATTTTTTCATGTACCTACTAAAAAGACCTTTAATTACTTCCAAATATAGCAGCTATAAATAAAGCTATAATAAAAATCTGTGTACAAATATTTGTATGTATTTAAGTTCTTATTTAATTTCTATAATTTTAAATAAATAATGATAATTTTATTTTTATTTTTATGTTGCTCAGCTTCTCCAAATTATAAAAAAAGTTTTTATTTTAATAATCCACTTAACTCAACTGTAATTTAGAAAAACATTAGTCACAGGGCAATATCTTGAAAAGAGGGAGAGAAGAAAAGGCTGTTTTAAAAGAGCTGAACATAGTGTTTGAAGGACTTGGGGCAGAGAGATTTTAAAGTCAACTAAAATGAAGAATGCTGTATATTACAAAATTGTAATTTCCCATCACATTGAGGAGGGCAAAGCTCTTTCTAGTCTGGATAGAGGATTCTTGGAGCAGGTTGGTGTAGTCCAGGGTAGAGAGAGAGAGTGTGTGTGGATCTGGACTTTGGTTCTCTGTGGGAGACTGAAGCCTAATAAGATTTGGGTGGCTGTGCATGGAGGTCACATATTTGGAAAATCGCAGAGTTCTTTCTCCTCTGCTTTCCAAAGAGTGAAGGCTGTAAGCCTACTAGGGTTGCCTTCACTTCATTCTGGCTCTAGAGCAAAACTTCCCTGGAAGGAAGACAGATTAGCAATGGCGGAGGGAAGGTGGCAACATAGAAGTGTGTCAGGCTGCTTCTGAGTGAACTGGCCACCGGCATAGTAGGAGGTAGGCCTCTGAGGACCCCGACGTATGAGAGCAGGATAGGGAAGATGGGTGAACCAAGGCCCCGAGTCAATGTGTGGAAAGCTGGTGTCTGGATTGGAGGTCTGGGAGAGGGCAAAGGCTCTGAGGCCATGGCGGGCCTATGTCCAGCAGGAGTGGCCGTCAGCCTCAGACCTCTGCTGATGGAGGACAATTCTCTAGACACCCTCCTGTGATCCAACCTGGGAAAAGACAAGTAGAGCAGGAGAGAGGAAGCCTCAACTTCCACACGGCTGCACAATAATAACTGTTTGAAGCAGGCAAGAGCTGGTTAGCATTCATCATTAAGACTTTCTCTGCCATACATTTTTCTAATTATTCTTTAATAGTTTTAAAGTTTAAGTTTAAAAAATTTGGCCTCAAAAGAAATTTCAATCATTGTACCATTAATATTTGGCTCTGTTGACTAATGAGTTTGCCTATCATTGGCCTAAGTGGTGTATCTGCTTGACTAAGGCCCTGCAGATAAGAATAGGTCCCAGATCACCAATCCTGGTCCGAGAGGGTAACTTCTCAGTGAATGAGCCCTGGCTGAAGTGAACTGCATGCCATTTTGC